CAAGAAACGCTGATTAAGCATTGAATCAGGCTACCCAGGAAGGTGGTGGAGTCGCTATCCATGGAGGTATTCAAGGAACAACTGGACATGACACTTAGTGCTGTGGTCTAGTTGACAAGGTGGTGATCAGTCAAAGGTTGGACTCAATGATCTTGGAGGTCTTTTCCAACCTAAATGATTCTTTGGTTCTGTGAAAAAAGGAACTAGTTAAATATTTTCACCTTTTGTTATATATATAACTAGAAGACAAATGGGTAAAGAATATGGTAAATCTTGTACTGTTGTGAGAAAAGGTTTTTGCAACTACGATCTTAGTGTTGGAATTCCCTGATTTATACTATGCAATGTACTTGGATCTTAGAGGGGCTGCACATGTCCTACCACAAGTTTACATATGCTAAATAACACAGTACTTTAAGTGACCTTACACAATTTCCAGATCTCATTTGAGTGGATACTATACAAGACTTAAGAAAAATACACTTAACACTTTCTTTAAAATTGCTGTTTAACCAGGAGATACACTTCTAGCAATTCAAGCACCTTGTGGTACACAATTAGAAGTACCTAGACCTGAAATGGTATGTACTGGTTTCTCGTTTACCTAAGTGTTCTAGAGCAACAGTGGCAAAGAAGAGTTGTTTCAGAGCAGAGGATTTATCTCTATCCATGTCCAAGAGGAGGGGAGAAAGGAGTAGCATTGTTTAAGTTGAGAAGAGGGAGGCCAGACAGAGAAAAGTGAGTTTTGTACACTTAGACTAATGGTAACCCTGCCTTCTATTAAAACCAAAATACACAAGTGGGTTTCTTCTTCTCTCTTGCTTTTAAAATGTTGCAGCTTTCAAAATAATGCATAGTTGTTATGAATTCTCTTGAGAACTCAGTGACTTTTATGTGTCAAGTTTCTCTGTTATATTGTTAAAATGGATCTCTTTATGGAAAACACCTTTTTGATTTAGTTTTAATATAATTTAGATTTAGTCTCATGGTACTAGACTGGATAGAGAAACAGACTGCAATCTCACTTTAGCCAGAAGGATTAAATTGGCAAGATTAAAGTAGGAGGCCAAATTATTTACTTCTGTCCATCTTTAACTTTTTTGTTGTTGTTGCAGTGCTTGATTTTAAATAGTGTTTACATAGCTGGGAGAGAGCATGGTAGGAAGCGTGATAGCCAGTGTGCTTATAGAAGGCTGAAATTCACTTGAGAAGTTTCACAAGCTATTTTTAGCGAGGCTAAGCACAGTCTTAATATCAGTAAAAGCATTGAAGGCTAGAGCCATGAAGCTGATCAGTGGTACTGTCTTTGTCCATCTCTGCTGAATCAGTTCAGGCAATGGTAAGGTTCTCTGCAGGACCCACGTTAGCAGCTGTGATGTTGGATTTTGTTTTTTTTTTCTTTTTGTTGAGGACTAAAACAGCTGATCTTAGTCTTCATCACTTTGTAGAGTTCCAAGTTCTCAAAGAACACTAACTTTCATAATACACCATTTTTACAGGGACAGAATGGACAGAATAAATACCAGATCAATCTTAAAAGTAGTTCAGGACCTATCCATGTGCTGCTTATAAACAAAGAATCAAGCTCCTCCAAGCCCACGGTGTTTCCAGTTCCTCCACCTGATGACCTTGCACAGCCCCCATCTCAGCCTGCAGCTCCAGTGACTCCACTTAAACCAGCTGCAGCTCCTCCAAATCCCCCAGAACACCGTGAGCTGAACCAAGGGCAGGAGTTACCACCATCAGCAGCTGCGGACACACCATCAGGTGGATCCCGGGGTTTTCCTATCTCTGGTGGATGGGGGAGGAAGGCAGCTGGAGGGAAAAAAGAAAGTGTTAAGAAAGGTGGTAGACAAAGATCAAGAATTTACATAGGATAGCAGCTGTCCATTAAAAAACTACTCCAGGGCCTTTGTAACAGCTCTCAGGAGGTTACAGACACCTCTTCTGTCTGATGAAAGAGATGCTTCCCTCACATCTTACCATCTTACACTGAACAGGTTTTGGAGGTAATCCTGTTAATTATTCTGAGGTGCTTCTCCAGAATGCATTATGAAGCAAAATTGCAAACCTCTTGACGGAGGAGGATATGATTTGAACGTGTACCTTTTAATGAGATTGATAATGCAGGCACCAGTTCCAGCTATTGTACCACAAGGTCGCTTACCTTCTTCCACATAGCCACAGTAAGAGGCTGCCTGAATATCAGGTACTTTTTTCACAGTAATAGTAAATTAATAAGTAATAGGAAAAGATTTAAGAAAATGCTGTATTACAACTGCATTCTTGAGGGGTCCTGATTGCCTTCACTGACCTTTAATTGACCTTCAATTAATTGACAATTAATTAAATTGTGACTGTGACTGTAGAAGGGGAAGACTCCTCTCATCTGATCTCAGACATTGGCCATGTTCTCCCTCAAAAGACAAAGCTGGGGGCAGGTGCTGCCTGTTCTGTTTCACTGTAACAGACTTTAACATGCCTTCCTGTCCGTGTAGATGGCAGCGCCCAGCAGGACAGCACAGCCCCTGCCGCCCCTTATTCCAGCCTTCCGGAGCCAGAGCTCTATCCCAGCCTGTCTGGAGACAGTGCCCAAGCCTCAGCCAGCTCCAGTGACTACCAGAGCTTGCTGCCTCTGGATGTCAACTGCATTCTCAAGCCAAACTCATTTGACATTGCAAAGATGGAGGAGCCTGCAGGTAGGAAGCAGTAGTTCCTGTTTAAAGATTTCCCTGGTTCCCTGAGCCCTTCTTTGTGACCAAATTACCAGTGAGTTACACAGAGGAAAAAACCAGGTCTCTGTTTATCTTCTAATGAAGCCACTGGGGAGCATATTAATTTTGAACAATTGAGTTTCTTTGCCACCAGATAAGCCTCATGGTAAACCATGATATATATAGTTCTTGAGTTTTAAAGAGTTAAGTTGGAAAAATGTATTGGGGGGGAAAAACTGAGGGAGACAAAGATAAGTATATTTTACATGTACATGGCATACTTTCTCTGCAGCTCCTACACTGCACAAGCCATAGTGTACTTGTCAATTCAGTGTTTTAATGCAAAGAATGTTTTGACTGCTATAAACACATATTAAAAAACCCCACATACATAAAGCATGTGCTCCTGTCTTTCACAGGAAATATCAGCGGAGATATTATTGATGAACTCATGTCTTCTGATGGTAAGTATTTAGCATCTTTTCTAATAATCACAAGTAGCAGCCTGATTTTTGTGTGAACAGCACTTAGAAGGCATTTGTTAAATCTGATGCCAAGAGTCAGTATGAAACTACTTCTTTCCCATGTTGCCTCCTCTGTCACTCTTGTCTTTGCTCCCCTTTCCATTCCCTGCAAGTTTTAACAGACAAAACAGGAAAACCTTAATCCAAAAGCACTTACTTGCATGAATAACCCACCAGTACTTAATTTAGGGAAAAAGAAAGAACAAGCTGATGACTAGTGTGCTGCCTTAAAATATAAATCTGGTTTAATTCTATTCTGCCTAAAGCTTTGTGCTTTGAATAAGAATTTCAGAATATAGTTCTGGATGCAGACTGATACATGTCCACTTGTGGTACACTAACAGAACAAGTGTCACCCATTTCTGTTCTTGCACGTCTTTGGCCATGAATGCAGCACTGAACCACAGCTACTACAGAATTCATGTGCTCCTACCTCTGTGCCACTCTCACTGATGTGGCAGGCAGAGGTGAACTCAACTTGCTTTTGCTCCTTTTGCCCTGTATTCTTTAAGGCCTGTAATAATATCTGCCCCTCAAGCAGACCACTTCTGGGCTCATCCAGAAAGAGATGTGGTTGTAAGATCCAAGGGGCAAGATGGGATTCTGTGAACGTGCCAGTATGTGGTTAACATGGAAAGAGGCTGTGCTTCTAGAGCAGGGATATAGATAAAGAAATATAAATTATGGCTTGATGGTTAAAGTTTTCAAAAGCTCCTCAGGAACTCCGTTGCAGAAGAAATTAAACCCATATTCCACAGCTATCACTCCACTTCAGCAAACTGACCTAAAATACCAAGCCAAAAATGGCAGATAGATCACTTACTGCCTTAGTTTGAATGCAGTACAGGTTTTCATGGTATGTATCTCAGTGAGCTTGTCAGATTATCAAGATTATTTTAATTATTAAGACTAACCCTTATGACAAACATACTGAAATGTGATAGGGCTGATTTTCCAAGTGTTTTAATTTAAACTAAACTGTTCCTGCTTTACAGTTTTTCCTCTCTTACGACTCTCTCCTACTCCCGGAGATGACTACAACTTTAACCTGGATGATAATGAAGGAGTCTGTGATCTCTTTGATGTGCAGATACTAAATTATTAGATATTATGTCAACCAGACTACTTATCTACCTCTAACTGTAACAATCTAGACTTCTTCATAACCTAAGTATTTGAATAATGAATGTATAACTTCTTAGTTCACTGACTCTGGGAGTATATTTCCTTTTGCTTCCTTTAACTACTTCACAAAACAAATTCAAGAACATTAAAAAAGGGCTCTTATCAAAAATTCTGGCACTTTTTCACCTGAGTGTGTTTCTGTCTAAGCCAACTGTTTGGAGCTTTCTTTAGTAAGAAAAGTGAAAATACTTCATAACTTTTTGATCATTTTTTAAAAAATGATTAGTCTTCTTGCTCACAGTTAACAGCATTTTCTTTGAAGCTTTACTGCCAAGAAGCTTTCTATTTTTTAACTTTCCAAACAATTTTGAAGCTTTCACTGCCAAGTTGAAAAGTGAAGGGTATCAACTTGAGTTATGCTAAACTGTTTCAGTGAACCAATTTTGTGAAGTGCCTTCTGTTTTAGCACTTTAAGTTTCTCACACTGACTTCTGACATTCCACTTTCCTAGATGATAGGAAAGGTCTGTTTGTAGTTTGTATTGAAGTGTGCCAATACTTGTATATTAACAAGATTTTTTTAATAAAATTGTGCAAACAAAGCCATCAGTATTGTGGTCTTTCATTTCTTGCAACCCCTTCATTGTCCATTTTGCATTACAACTGAGATAACAGGTTTGTGGCAGCATCCACGTTTGCTGGCTCCTCTTCCAGATTTGTGGAAACCTGGAAAAAAAAAAAAAAGAGTTTCAGTTTAAAGCAGAAAACAATTTCTTTTTATTCTGTTTGGAAAAAAAAAACCAAACCAGACTAAATAAATATCCATTGGCCAGAAGATTAGACTTTTATATATTTAATTTCAGCTAATTTTGCAGTTATACTTCAATAACTTGGGGGGATTGCAGGATACACTGAAGTTGATATGTAAGCAGAAAATGCTTTGTGCTTTGGGAGTGTTGTACCAGTAACACACACAGCCCAACTGAGACAGGCTCAGCTTTTAGAACACAACTGCTCTCAACAACACTTCTGCAACTTTGGAGAAAATACTGTAACAGCCTGAGTGGTGTAGAGCCCTACTAGCACAGGAGCAGTAGTACAGTCTGAATTCTTGGAGGAATAAATAACAAGCCAGCAGGGACAGGACCACTGGCTCCAACAGCCTTGAAATCCTGGCTTGGCTTCATCCTGTGCTGGCAGCACTGTCACTTACGTTTCATTTTTCCCTCAGCCTCTCCTTAAGGTATTTGACACTTGTTTAGTTGCTCCCAGCTGTACAGAAACTTCATCACCTCAGGCATACTGACAACTCATGTCCACTTCCCCAAACTCCAGCTTCCCCCAACAGCAGGATGGATTCATCTGCATCTCATCCTGAAGGACTGCTTTCTCTCCCTGAAACTGTGCCTAGAGCATCAGTCAGCAGAAGGAGTTTACATGGAGGAACTTGTCAGGCATTAAACGTTTATGAATTAATTCTTGTGCAAGACTGCAGGTAGGCCTGCATTAAAAAAAAAACTAGACAAAGGCAAGAGAAATACTGTCTTGAACCCCAAGTGCTGCAGGCGAAACCTCTGCTACAGAAATTGCTGCTTCAGGTGTTGGTCCTTCTGATGAGGTAATACAAGGCTTAGGAATCAGGAACAAAGAGGCAGAACTGTTTGTTTCAAAGCATTGTCAGGAGCTTCAGGTAGGGAACAGCCAGGTTCATCCTCCTTGTGTGTATTCATGTAGAGATACAAGCTTCAAATCAAGGGGATGGAGTTGGGACTAACTTAAAAAACCAGTAAGATATCAGCTAGAATGTAATTTTAAAATATGCTTTTGAAGTGTGCTTCAGCATGGCTGCCACCCTCTTCTCGCTCTACTTTAGTAGTTTTGTAGAATTTGAACATGCTAACTAGGTTTCAGCATTTCCACACAAATGAAATTCATAAAACTGGGATTCTAGCTTTAAATCAACTGCATAAATTCACAGAATATTCTGAAGTGGAAGGGACCCACAAGGATCATCAAGTCCAACTCTTAAGTAAATGGCCATTAAAAGGATTGAACTCAGCACCTTGGTATTACCAGCACTGTCACAGACATCCTTTGTGGAAAATCCTTTCTTTAGGATTTTTCCCTCTTCTGGGAAGCTGAGGCCCCAGAAAGAGAATGTAAACAATGGTTATCTGCTGCTGTGGAATGCAACAGGTGTACCTGTGATAGGCCCATGTTCCATGTTTACAATTAAGGGCCAATCAGGGGCCAAGCTCTCTCTGGGACAGATCAGAGAGAGCTGTGTTGTTGATTCATTCCTATTCTATTCTTAGATAGCAAGCTTCTGAACTTTCCTCTCTATTCCTTTTAGTATAGTTTTAATGTATTATATATCATAAATTAATAAATCCAGCCTTCTGATCATGACGTCAAGATTCTCGTCTATCTCTTCACCCCTGAGGAACCCTTGCAAGCCCGGTAACACAGCACCACACTGACCAACTGAGCTATTGCCTGCAGCCTAAGAGACACATTATAATGCTTTAAACACACATTCTTTTCATTCTGTTCAGATTTTTACAAAGGGAAATTACCTGCTGAGTATTCTGAGGTTCTGCTGTGGTACCTTTTGATAGCTGCCGGATTTCTTTCTGAACTTCAGCAAATGCTTTATTTATTGTGCTAACTTTTTCAGCATTTTTAATGTTTATCTGGGAGAGAAAAAAATACATACGTTAGTATTTTTAGCAAAAATTCCACTGATGTGAAACTGCCCCATTTTTGTGCAATTATTATGCAGCCAGTGTTACATGCTTTTTGGTGTGTTTTACCTGTTACTTCATTAGGTCATCTAGCTGTGTACTAATAAATTCAAAATTAAGAGTTAAACTTGCTCTACAGGAATGGGAGCCCATAGTGATCCAGAAGGAGACCACAAAGAAAACAAAAGTCTATACTGCTACACCAGCCTCAGCTCCTCTTAGCTGGCATGAAGCCCCAGGAAGGGTTCCTTCCTTCCTCTCTTTGGTGAACTGACCCTGGCTGGATGCCAGGTGCCCACCAAAGCCACTCCATCGCTGCCTTCTCCAGCTGGACAGGGGACAGGAAATATAATGAAAGGCTCATGGGTAGAGATAAGGGCAGAGAAAGATCACTCACCAGTTGCCATCACAGGCAGAACAGACTCAACTGAACTTGGGGAAAATGAATTTAATTTGTTGTCAAACAAATGCTGCAGAGGAATCTCAGCTCAGACACCTGGAGCACCTCTTCCCACTCCTTCTTCACTGACCTTGGTGTTTGCAGGGCTTTTTCTTTAAAAAATTCTCACTCCCCTCTTCTGACTGCTGCTGGTGGTATGCTTCTGAACTACATCAACCCAGAGGCACTGCCAGTACCTGATGGGCTCTGCCTTGGCCAGCAGCATGTCCATCCTGAAGCCAGCTGGCATTGGCCCTTTCAGACATAAGGGAAGCTTCTGGCAGCTTTTTAGAGAAGCCAAGCCTGTAGCCCCTCAAACCAAATACAATTTGTAAATTATTTTAGTATGCTGAATTTCTTCCAGTAGCTTACCTTCATCATCACACCTTGCATCCTAACTGTTCATACTGTAGGTCTGGCCAACAACGTCTACCAGGTTTTGCCACAGCATTGAAGGAAACTCTGCAGCTGTAGCAGAGTGGAATGTGTATCTCTGGGCACCTCAGCCTCTCTTTTAGCCCAAGTCTGCCTTTATAAGTTATTTCATCAAAGATTTTACTTTCAAAGAGGAAGTGCTAGAATATGGACATGTGTTGCACTCTGGGGACAGCTGTCTGTGGTAGAAGAGCAGGGTGGATGCAAGAGGGCATAAACTCTCACTACTGCAGCAAAGGAAGATTCAGCTGATCTGAGCCCAAGCACCTGTTGCTTCCAAAGTTTGGAACAGGATCACAGCCAGGTAATAACCTATTACACTGCAAACATTCCAGAAGCATGCTCATAGGTCTTCAGGCAACCCCAAATCTCAGCATACCTACTGCTGTTCAATGGGCATCCCCACAGTTCATCTCTGAGCAATTTAAACAGGCAGGAGCAAACTGTGAATGGTTACACATATCCATTTCACTTTCAAAGCCTCCATAATTTCAGAGCACCTATACAGTAACAATTCCATTCTCACTGACCATAAAAACCAGTAATAAGAAGCAGTGGGCAATGAGGCTGATAGAACAGGCTGCTCAGATGAACACTTTCACTGGGACAGTGACTGGAGAAATACAGCCCCAGCTCCCAGCTCTGATCAGAGTGGATGGACTGTTGGTAATATGATGTACAAAGACCACGTGTTCAGTCAGGGCTTGTCACCATCTTCACAGGGGTTTTAGAAGGTTCCAGTCACTTTTAATGGTGATATCCTCAAGTAGTCAGGCAGGACTTGTTCACAGAAAGAGGCTCTATAGCTAGCATGGGTACCTACATCAAAAGTTGTCTGAACAGTTACAATGAGCTTATAGCTATTAATGAGTAAATTCATTTTAGCAACTTTTTTTTCTGAGCATCTTCTTATACTGCTTAACGATAAGTAAATCACATTAAGCCCAAAGGCTTAATGCATTAAAGAACACAGCTTCAAACACAGAGAATAAAATTTTACTCCTAATAAGCTTTTCAAGACTATGAAACTCAGACATTTCATGAATATGATTTTAAACCTGTTTCTCCCTTTATTATACAGAACAGTCTAGACTAAGAGGAGATGTGACGCCAGCAACATGAAATTGTTTTTTGTAAAGTTTGTTCCTGTCTGTCCACCAGATTAATTTGTCAAGTGGAGCTTGCAGGAGAAAATCTGAAACGGCCTTTTTTTTAAAAGCCATTTACTTGTGTTTCCCTAGCAGACTGCAACTGCATCAAATGGAGAAAACAAGCCACTATCTGCTTTTATTATTTCTATTACCAGATGCTTTTCTAGAGGGACAGGTGAACTCTTGCAGAACACACACCTCAGGCTGGAGGCAGGCTTTGAGAAGAAAACATACAATGACTCACTGCTCACAAAAGGAAAACTCTTGCTTAGATCACCCCCATCCCTCTTCCCCTGCACTGCTCCCTACTCCATGACCCACTCTCTCTCTCTTCTGGGCTGTGCTCTTCTACAGACACCAAAATAACAACATTATTTTTGCTTCTTTGTTCTTCTATTGCTTTAATATGTTAAACTGGTGTACAGAAGCATCTACAGAGCACCACAGCCATATAAGGGGCAAAAAAGGGGCAGAGAGGAATTAAGAGCAAAACATCCAGCAATGCACACTCCTAGCTATGTTCACTGCATCTCACTGACAGTTTTACTTGACAGCTGAGGCAAATAAACAGCTACTGGATCAGAAAAGGCTCCATCCTTTCTGGTTCTTCCCCACCAGAATGCTTCTCTCTGCATTCATTCATTCATAATTAACTTTGTTCAACTCACCAACCCAGCACATAAAAATGCAAAATGTATTTTTAATGCCTTTTACTGCTGATTTAGCGAGTTGAGTCACCTAGTGGGCGTAGAGTTCCTGAGCCAGCATCAAGGAGAGCTGTGGGAATGTAGCCCAGAGTCTGGCACAGGGATCCCTTCCTGGGACAAGGAACGTGATGGAAAGGAGCAGGACGTCCCCTTGTTAGTAGTACGAAGTATGGCCAGTGGTTCGGATCAAGGCATTTTGTTAAACTCTACCCTGAATTACACCCTCAGCGACGCTGTGAATGCAGTCCGGTGAAGGCGAACTCGCTGAACTGCGGATGCGCCCTTCAGCATCGCATTCCCGAGGACAAGGCGCGACACTATCAGACTCTTCCCAAACGGCACCCCTCAAGCACAGCCCGATGCCTCCTGTGGCATATGCCTGCGGATTAGTCAAATGAACTTCCTGTGATCCTCTTTTTCCAGATGACATCCACATACAAACCTAATTTTCGGGTAATAATCGTGCACTTTGCCGGTTTGTGCCCGGACGCACACTGCCCCTAAACCAGCTCGATTTGTTCACTTCCGAGCGCTTGCTGCGCCGCGCACCGAGGTCGAAGGGGAGGAATCCCCGCCGGGCCGAGGCCTCCCGCGGCGCCGCAGCAGGGCAGGGGCCCTCCCCGTGGTGGGGCGCTGCCGCAGCACTCACCTGCTTCAGCCCGGAGGTGACGGGCCGCGCCTTGCCCTTGGCCTTGGCCTTGAGGACGCCGCTGCGGGCGATGCGGAACACGCTGCCGGCCTTGGCGGCCCCGCCGCGGTTCTTGCCCATGGCGGCGGCAGCGGCGCGCGGGCGGGTGACGTCACACGGAGCTGTGACGCAGGGAGCCGCCAATGGCCCACAGCGCCGCGCGGGGCCGCCAGGGGGCGTGCGCCGCCTAAGGTGGGCGCTGTGGAGCCGCACCAGGGAACGGGAGTGGCGGAGTGGCGCTGTCCCTGTCCCTGTCCCTGTCCCTGTCTGGTCCCGGAGTCAGCCTTGCCCCGGCCCTGCTTCCCTCTCCCGCGCCTTCGCAGCCAGCTTTTGCAGTACGGGAAAGCTGGGAGCTCCTTGGCGCGCGCCCGCAGCCCAAGCGCTGAGTCCAAAGCTCCGCGTTGCCTCAAGCACCTGCCCACGGGCAGCGCCCGGCACACGCGGCGCTTGGATAAATTCCCAGCGGGTTGTGGGACACCCTTCTGCCTTCACGGCCCCACTTCGGAAAACGTGAAATCTTCCTGCGACCTATTCCAAAGGGAATTTGGTTTACGCCTCTGGGAGAAAATCGGGAGCGATGCAGCGGTGCGGACTGGCTTTACTTTCTGGAGTGGCGGGAGTGACCCCAGTAATGGGCACTGCCGCACAACTCGTGCTCTGGCGGGACGGGGGCTGGTGGAGCCACCTTCCCTCTGTTGGAGCGGACTCTTGAGAGATGGCACTGCGTCCCCCGGGCCACCCCGACGGTGCTGGGGGAGCCTGGGGAGAGCCTGGGTGACGAAGGGCTTGGGGCGACAACAGGCACGGACGGGCCAGGAGGCCGGAGCGCTGCAGGTCTCGTTATCAGCGCCCGAGGATCGGGGCGTCGCCGCCCCGTCGCCTTCAAATCGGGCGCAGCCGCCTCTCCCGCCCCATCCCGTCCCATCCCAGCCCGTCCTGTCCTGTCCCGTGCCGTGCCGGCAGGAGAGCAGAGCCATGCTGCACTGGGGATACGACGAGCACAACGGTAGGGAACAGCGGCCGGGGCCGGGCCGGGGCCGTCGGGGCGGGCAGCGGGGCCCGGCGGGCAGCGCTTGCCGCTGCTGGGCTCGGCAGCCCAGCGCCCTCGGGAGAGCTGGGTGAGCTGAAATGCTCTGCAGCGTGAGAGCGAGCCGATTTTTGTCTCGGCTTTCTGCAAGGCAGGCGGCTGAGAGGTGTCCATGTGTGCGGCATCGCCTGCAGAGCCGGGCCGGGCTTGGCTCCGGGTCCGGTCTGCCGCTTGGGATTTCGTTCGCTCCTTCAGCTGAACAGTTGCGTGCACAGATCGAGTACGTGGCTGACAGCTGCACTGATCGCAACTGCTGTTCCAGCAGTGCTTTTCTGATTCCAGCTCTGTTCTGCTTCTACTACACGGTGGGAAATCCTAGTTACTTGACTGGGTTATTTAAATATATAACTATGCACCTAAGAGGAGATGCTTTTGGACTTTAGTTGTTTCAGTGGTTTCCTTCATCTTGTCAGTCTTTGAAGTCCCAAGATGGGCTCACCTGCAGGCTTAAAGACTTGGCTCTGTTTTGCATCTTCAGTCATGCAAACGCTGCTCCACTGTGCAGACGGTCTCACAAGTCATGCAAGTAGAAATAAAAGTGTTTTTGTAAATTGTAGGCTCAACTCTGATAAAATACGTGGAATATCTTATATTGTCTGTACACAAAGAAATGAAATGCTGTGACAGCAAAGTGAGACAGCTATATATTTGCATATACTAATGCCTATAAGAATATGCTTTGTGCATATTCTTAGACTTTGTGCATATTGCTTGGACTTTGGAATACTGTTTGTGCATAGAAAGTACTACCTTTCCTTCCTGGCCCTCATGTTCCATCTTTTCTGGATGGATGTACTTTTCCTGAAAAACTGGGTAGTGGTGGTGGATCACAGGGATGTTGCAATGATTGGGTGTGTTATCTGCTGTTGTGCAGTCTGCCCTACCCCTCCCCTGAAGACGTAAATGGGTCTTGTTTTTCAATTTTTTTTTCTCCATATGTTTCTATGCTTTGAGCTTCACCTGCACTGCCCAGATAAGAAGTCCACTTTCCCTCCCTTATCCTGTCTCTTCTTGTTTGCTATTCTCAACTTATAGAGAGGGGAAGCGACCAGAATTTCTACTGGGGTGGCCCTGGACCATGCTTGGGGCCCTGTCTCTCCTATAAAACTCTATTTACTGCCTGCCTGGTAACATATTTGAAGGGGAGTTTGCCTTTCACTCCTTTCTTGGAGCCCCAGAGCAGCTGTGGGGTGGATAGTTCCTCATGAGTCCATGCCCTTCACCACACCTTTCACAGGAGGGAGGCATGGATATCAAACACTTCAGTGCTCTTCCCTAGCATCAGTTTTATTTCTTAGCTTTTTCTCTTCTACTGCATTTATTTTACTGATTTTTCTTGTTATTATTGTTTGATTGAGCGGCAAGTGAAGGAAATTTCTCTGATTCTTGAAAATTTTGTTTGCCTTCGTGGCCCTGAAAATAGTTTCTCTGAAACTAAGATTACTTTTTGCAATTCAGACAGAAATAAAGCGAAATAAATTAAATGTGGTGCAGTTATATAGTGTGGTTGACTGCCTGAAGAGTTGAAAAGACATCTGTGTTCACTCTGAGTTCTGTAATTGCTACTTGCAACAGTCACAACATAAATCATTATGTGCATAAAGTAAACGGGCAAATATTAAAACATACATGTCTGCATATATGGAATATCTATGTTTAAGGACATGGGCTCACCGTTAGGTAAAGTATTAAAAGATTTAGGTATTGACACTGACTGGACACCAGGTGCCTGCCAATGCCACTGTATCACTCCTCAGCTGGACAGGGCAGAGAAAATAGACTGAAATGCTCAGAGGTTAAGTGACTCTCCAGTTACTTTCATAAGGAAAACAGACTTGACTTGGGGAAATTAGTTTTATTTGTTGCTTATCAAATCAGAGCAAGGCAATGAGAAAATAAAACACCTTCCCTCCAACCCTCCCTTTCTCCCTGGCCCAACTTCACTCCTTCACTCCATAGGATTTCTCTGTGTCCTCTCCTGCACCAGCTGTGGTCAGTTCATCACGTGTTGTCTCTGCCTCTCCCTTCTCTTCAGCAGCAGGACTACTCACACTCTGCCCCTGCTCCAGCATAGGGTCCCACCCATGGAAACAGCCTGCCATTAATTTCTCCAGTGTGAGAGCTTCCCACAGGCTGTAGTTTTTCACAAACTGCTCCAGCGTGGATTCCCCAGGGGACCTCAAGTCCTGCCAGCAAACCTGCTCCAGCCTGGGCTTCCAATGGGCTCCTGCCAGGAGCCTGTTCCAGTGTAGGCTGTCCATGAGGTCAAAACTTCCTTCAAGACACATCCACCTTCTCCAGTTGTGACCCTCCATGGGCTGCAGCTGGATCTCTGCTTCACTGTGCACCTCCATACAGAGCACAGCTGCCTCACCCTGGTCTTCACTATGGTGCAGGGAATCTGCTCTGGCTCTGGGACCGTGTCCTCCCCTTCCTCGTGGTGTCTGCAGAGCTGTTTCTCTCCCATATTCTCACTCCTCTCTTTCAGCTGCTGTTGCACAGTAACTTTTCCCCCTTCTTAAATCTGTTACCCAGGGGTGATAGCGCTGTCCCTGATGGGCCCAGCCTTGTCCAGCAGTGGGTCCATCCTGGAGCAGCTGGCACTGGCCCTATTGGACATGGGGAAAGCTTCAGCAGTTTCTCACAGGAGCCACACCTGCAGCCTCCGTGCTACCAGTATCTTGTCACACACCCGTAATGCAGAAGTTCTCTTTACTTTGATTACTTTGGTTACTTTGATGCACCTATTTCTGAAATGCATGAAGGCATTATTTTATTTCTGTGAAAACCTTGGCCTTTGCTTTCTTGCCACTTTTCTTATCTCACAGTTTTGATGTTGCTTATATGTAGAGGCATAATACTGGAATCTTGAAGACTGGCTTCAGTGTGGTATCATGCATGCTTTTCACTGTTGCTCAAGGTTCCTATCAGGATGGGAATATTCTTGCCCCTTGAGTCCTTTTTTGTTTACATGTTTAGTTAAAAGGCAAATCAAAGAATGAGTAAAGTTGGAAGGGACCACAGTGGGAGAACAATTGACTTCAGTTTACTATTCATTTAATGAAATATATGGTAATTATTTACATGTATTGTCTGTTACAGCAAAAATTTCTCTTGATCTAGTTACTACAGTAATGCTAAGGCATTTTATAAATAAAAGGGATATTAATTCATAGAATCATTTAGATTGCAAATGACCTTTAAGATAATTCAGTTGAGCCATAACTCCTTATACTTTTTTTTCTGAGAATAATTACGTCATTTCAATATCTGCTTTTTAAAAGGTGCTTAATTTTACCCATAATGAATTTTTAATTGCTTTTGTTTGAGCTCATCTTCCTGTAACCTAATATGCAATTGTATTACTTGCAAACCTAAGTTTATAAATTTAAACACTCTGTGATTGACAAACTGGACAATGGATTCTCTTTAGAAATAAATGATGTGGTGGGAAAGAGGGAAGAGACAAGAATCTTGACTCCATGTTTCAGAAGGCTGATTTATAATTTTATTATATATATTATATGATATATATTAAAAGAAAATGATATATTAACACTACTAAAAGAATAGAAGAAAGAATTTCATCAGAAGGCTAGCAAGGAAAAGGGAATGGAAGGATAATAAAATCTTGGGACTGCTCACAGCCTCAACACAGGTGGCTGTCATTGGTCATCAAGTAAAAACAATTTTACATGCTGGGTAAACAACTCTCCAGATCACATTCCAAAGCAGCAAAACCTGGAGAAGCTGAAGCTTCTCAGCTTCTCAGGAGAAAAGATCCTGGCAAAAGGATTTTTCATAAAATATGTCTGCGACAAAATGAGGATATGATCCTGTCAAGGCCAGACCATTCTAAAATAATGAATTCTCTATATATAATAACAAACTGTGAAAAAAAACAAACAAACCCAAACCCCTTTTCACCTGTACATGCTCCATTTATGCACATATAGAGGCTCATTAGAATTCAGCTGTATCCTGTAGTGTGTTCACTAGACTTGTCTCAAGTTGTCTTGTTGATGAAATTTTTAATATTTAGCTTTAGCTGGATAAAAATGCAGCACTGTGAGGTGCTATAGTGAGTTCTGTTTTCTGCCAAATTCCTAACTGCCTTCCTATGAGACCTGTTTCATGAATTGGCTGTGTGCAATGCTGGTGAGTGGTATGTGCAGCGATAGTCTGACCTAAAAGTGTCAGACAATTCATTGCCTGTGGTAATGTTGTGTAAAATAAAGGCATGAAATCTTCAGAGCAGATGGTTCAGTTTTTAGTCATAAATCTCAGTCACAATAGCTTTGATTGTTAAGTGCTACTAGAAAATTGCCTCTAGCAAGAGAACATTTTCCCAACAGCAGGAGAGGATTTCATAAGTTCAAATATTGGTATATTAATCACTTTCATTCAGTAAAGGAAAAAATGAAAGGAGGTGAATTAATGAGTTATACTCCCTGAAAGTGCATATTTAGAAAACTGAAGTGTACATTATTTTAATATGGAGGCATCTAATTCAGAAAAAAATTTCACCCTGGAGACCCTGCTGGCTTAAATCTGATTATAGACATGTATTTGAGTATCTCTTTCAACAGTAATGGCTTTTTTTTTACAACAGTCATACACAAAGTTTGCATTGGGCTGGGGTCTGTAGAAATGAATTGAGTCACAGTTTTCCTAGAGGGACAAAAGCATGGTAATTGTACTAGATTGCTAATAGATTACATAGAAAGTAATACTTGTTGATATAACCTAGTGGTATAAAATGGGCTGAAGTTTCTTGATACCTTCCTGTATGTTTTGAAAGGTCAGATGTCTGGTAGTTTGGTTACTGGTAGATGTTTAATCACCACAGCAAACCAGTATTTTGGTCATCTGAGCCAAGAACAAGTGCCAAACCAACAATAATGTCATTTTAGAACTGAATATTGTATTACTGTTAAATAATTGGGCAGTGACAGAATCACAGCCTTGGGTCCTCTTTTTGGCAACTTTGTATTATTTCTGAATACAAGTCATCCATATAATTTAATTAAAGTAACTACAGTTACTTCTGAGACAGAGCAATAGGAGATCAAGTAGTTAAGCACATAAATATATTTTTGGCTTTTCTCAGTTAAGGATTGTTAGAATTATTAGAATTAAGTAGCAATAAACTTTTTCTAGGAGTTCTAAATCATGGTAGTGAGGTATAAATTATGGAGTAGGCTTCTTCAAATAAAATTTTGTGTTGCATCCCTAACTACAGGGTATTAGGATCAAAACACAATTAAAATTATGTTCTAAACTGTAAGTAGTTAGAATATTGAATAGCTTTGATGACCATTCGTGAACTGAGAGGAATTAAGTTTAAAAAGTGTTATGTTTCAAACCAGTAGGATTTTTATCTTCTGCCTCAGAATCTATTTCTTTATTGAGTTTAGTTAATGAAGTAATTAAAAAAAGTACTTTTTTAAAATCAGGACTGAAGGCCTTTGTCTTTGTTCTGAGGTTTAAGTCTTAGGCTATTCTTTACAAGTTTTTCCCTTCTGTTTTTCAGTGCTGCTCAGAGGAGAATCATTCTCTGCCCAGGTGCTGTGCGAGCTGCAGCCCCCGGCGCTGTGGGCGCTTCCTCCTTGATTTACTGTCGGGGTGCATGGGTGCTTTTAGCACCTGTGAGTTTCACTTCTGCTGAAGTCAAGGAAAGAAAAATACCTAACAGCTTTTGATGTTAGGCTATTAACCACTGCATCGTATGTTTTCGTCCTTTTTTGTCATCATTTTTATTTAAGTGCTAAGCCATGCAGAAAGACTCAAACCCAATTTTTGCACTGAGGTCAGTTATCTTCAGTATAGGGAGTTAGTTATGAGGATTTCCAGTGATGCAGATTTTATTTGACCAGGTTCTGATGCTCATATTAAGTATTTCATATATCCAGTCTCTCAATTGATTTATTATGCCTTTTACCCATTAGAAGCCTGGGGGAAAAACAAGTTCTGTGTTGTTCTTAATACTGGAAGATCGTTTGCCCTGCAGACTTTCACCTTTCTTTTTTTCCTTTCTTCTTTCCCCTTGCTGTCCCCTCCTTTCCATCCTAAACCTTATTTTCTGTCTTTATAGAATATATTCCCCAGGCTGTTCATATTTTTCTTTACCCTCTTATCCAAATATAGTTAAACAATGGCACATATACTCTAATTGTGAATTATTGGGAACTCTCTGATGCTTAGTAGGTAACAACAGATAACTCACACATCTTATCAGTGAAGATTTTCTTACTGTTTTAGGAGGTTATTTGCTATTTTCTCATATCCATATTATTGATTTATTAACTTTTCAGGTTTGGCTGAAAAGTTGGCTTAGCCTGCTTGGAGAGAGGAAGGTAGAGATGACTGGTATTGATTAACAGTTTCTTTAGTCCTATAATTTCTACCTAAGTTGGGTCAATGGCTCTGTGTCTGGAAGATCTACTCTCATCAGCTGAAGGCAGTAGAAATACAAACCTCATGCAGGCACCACTGTCCTGAATGTTCCTGTTATTTGATTTTGGCAGTGCTAAACTAGTGTGTGTTTGTGTATGTGTGCCTGTGTGCATGGACACTTCATGATTAGAGGGTGGCAGTCTCTCTTCTTTGTGACAGCTGGTGTGCGCAGTTGGTGGGCTGGGAGGAGATGATCAGAGGTGCAGCAGTGTGTTCAGGTTCCAGGCACTGCCGTCAGGCTCCAGGAACCACTCAGCATTTTTTGACATCTCTCCATCTCATTCAGAGTGATCGGTGCAAGATGGGTTCTCAGGTCTTTTGCAGTAAATGAATAAGGCATAAAAATTTCTGCCTAGAAAAGAGGCAATCCTTAAAGACACAATAAGACATGATATTTGGAAAAAATGGCATGTCAAAAATTTATTGGGACATAGTGCCCATTGGATACAGGATGCCTGATTTGAGTGAGCGTTTGTTGTGTCTTGTGCATAGCTGAGTCTTACCTGGGAATAATTATCTACATACTGTGGCCTTGTTTAAAGGTGCATGCAAGGTACATGGAGGGGTCTGGAGAACTGCTATTGCAATATGATGCAGCAAAAGTAGCTGAATGTTTTATCTGTGTTTTCCTGATGCATCCTTTTTGAATTTAAAAGATGCAGATGAGGACAATTCAAGTAGAGTTTTCTTTCATAACAATGAGGTTGCTGTCAGCAATTTAGACTTCTCCTCCAATGCATTGCAGGGCCTGCCCACTGGAAGGAGGTTTTTCCTGTCGCTAATGGAGACCGTCAGTCACCTATTGACATCAAAACTGAGGAAACCAAGTATGATCCCTCCCTCCGTCCTCTAAATCCCAGTTATGATCCAGCTTCTGCTAAAATCATCCTTAACAACGGGCACTCCACCAGTGTGGAGTTTGATGACACCGTCAACAAATCAGGTTTGTTCCTTTACTCATGCGCTGTAACTTTCTCCACCAGTTCCTAAATAGAATGCCTACAGCCTGGACACGTCTCACTGCTGGGTGTGAACTCCTAATAAACAGTAAGGCTTTGCTCCTCTGGATGAGAGATTCCTTTTTCCCTGCCTTTCAGCATGATGCAGAGTGGGAACATATTTGGACACAAGTTCGAGGTTGTGTTTCTCAGAAAGTGTTGGGATTCCCTACTTACAGGAATGGTTTGATCCACCCGCACCAGCTGGATAGTGCCAGCTCTCTGTTTGAACAGTGTTGTGTACAATTTTTCAAATGCTGCTCTCTCTTTCTCACTGCAGATGAATCCTTTGTGTCTCATTACAGGTTCATTCCAACCGAATCACTCAAATCTCTTATGTGAATTTAGCTGCAGGTTTGGTTATATGTTTTTCCCCTTTTTATCACCTATACTTGGCCTTCTTATGACAATAAGAGCGAATACAGAACAAGTGAAATAGATCCCAAGTAATCCCTTTTCTTCTCTGAAAAGTATTATTGCCCAAGTCTTTTCCAGGGGTATGTAGCTTCCCTTTTTGCAAACAATAATTCTTATTTAGAAGTTCTCTGAACTTCTTTGTAATGTAGTATTTGTAATGTTACTGCCTTCATCTTTGAAACCTTCTCTTGGATTTTGGGCAAGGTAGCATGCATCTCTTCAAGCTGTAGGAGTGCAGAATCTTCAAGCAATAAAATAATTTTGTGGCTGTGTGAGGCTTAGCTGAGGATTCAAGTCCATAGTGCTTTCATAAGCATCAAAGCCAGAGAAAGACTAATTTTTTGATGACCCCTTAGTCCTGAGGACTTATTAGCTCTTAGTGGCAAGAGGGAGAGACATAGATGAAGACAGCATCATGTTTTTGTTTCCTGAACAGTCTTAGGTTTAAACTTTCTGTCAACATTGGATGTTGCCTGAAAGCCACCAGCTGACCATCAATGATCAGTCTGACCTTGTGTCAGATGCTGCGGAACTTCCCAGAATTAATCTCTGCTTCGAGCCTAGTAGATGCTGGTGAACTAAAGCACATCTCTTAGAAAAATACACAATCTTGATTTCAAATTTTCCAGCGATGCTGAACCTACCACAGCCTTTGGTAAGTTGTTCTAATTGTTAATTACCCTCACAGTTTAAAAGGAAAAAAAGTTAATGAATGTGAATACACCAAGAACCTCTTCCACCCTCTTAACTCCTTTCATGAAGTGACAGGGCCTGAGCAATGTTTCTCTAGGCTTCTCCTGGTACCAAAGCAATGGTAATGTGATCCTCCTCTCACTGCTTTCCCCAGGTCGTATCTCCATGGATGTAGTTCATACTGTGTCAAAGCACTGACAGATGTTGATCAGATAATTAACAGATGGAATACCCAGTCTCCTTCACTAGACTCCATGTCTTCTATGCATGGACCAGATTCTTCAGTCCACAAACATAAATTGAGTAATTCACTATTTCCCCTAGTATTTGTCACTGACAAACTTTATCAGTATTGTTTTTGTTTTCTTTCAGGTCATTGCTCAAAAAACACTGAATTTTCTAGGGCCCAAATTTGGCTTCTGGGGCACCTCTGTGAAGTAAGAACTCCTGCCATGTGTTAGTTTCATGAAAACAAAGTCAAATTAATTGGTACTAAATACATTAGCATCTTCTAATGCATTATTAACTGACTCCCATATGAACTATTTCCTCACTTTGGTCAACATTGGAACTGGGCTTTGAAGTCTGTAACTGTTTGTGTAAGTCTGTTTATGCTGTTTGGTACCACATTAGCTCCATTCTTTGAAATTGCTCTATTGATCTTCTTCCAATATTTTTAAAAATTCAAGATACTGATATTTGCCTTAAAAACTTCTGAGTACCCTCTTCCTTAATTACTGTTGAAATTAAATGGTTTTACCATCACTGTGTGATGCGGCACAAATAGATCAACAGGCCATTTTCCACAGTTTTCAGCATAAATATTTCATGCTGGTGCATTTCTACATAATAGTTTTTCCTCAGCCAGTTAGAACACTGATCTTTACACTTTTCTAGGATCATTTGCATCAAAGTTTACAGTCCTTAAAAGAAAGAATTTTAAACTGCCACTGCCCCATCTCCTCTGTTTGCTAAGTTTATAGGCTGTGTAAATGCATGTTTTTTGAGTTGAAGCTTTAAGGAAGTTAAATATTTTTCCCCAGAATAAACAGTCCCAGTTCTTATTCATTATCCAAGCTACTTGTATTAGCAAATAGGCAACTTAAAAATTCTTCTTTCATCTTTATTTGGTTGATTTTGTTCCTAAGAAAGTGTAGGTTTTGCACTAAACCTAGAAGAGAAAAAATTGCTATTGTCGTCCCTTCTGCTCTTAATTTAAAAAACATCTGGTTAAATCTCCCCTCATTTCCCCTTAAAATTTCTGTAATGAGCCAGTAAACTATTCCAGACTGAATCCCAAACACTCAGAGGACATACAGAGCTGGGCGAGTGGAGTGATTTGTTTTGCTGTGAATAAGGAATGTCTCTGGGTGTAATTCACATTCCAGGCTCTGTGAGGAGATATTTTGATTCTAAGTCTGACAAGAAAATTGTGAGTGCTTGCAAAAGCAAAATAATGAAAAACCCACCCATATGCATGTTAGTTTGAATAGAATTAGAACAGAACAGAATAGAAATAGAAATAATAGAGTAGAGTAGAGTAGAGTAGAGTAGAGAAGAGAAGAGAAGAGAAGAGAAGAGAAGAGAAGAGAAGAAGAGAAGAGAAGAGAATTCTTTCAGTTGGAAGGGACCTGCAATGATCATGTTGTCCAACTGCCTGAGCAGTTCAGGGCTAACCAAAAGTTAAAGGATGTTGTTAAGGGCGTTGTCCAAATGCCTCTTAAACTCTGATAAGCCTGTGGCTTTGACAGCCTTTCTAAGAAGCTTGTTCCAGTGTTTGACCATCATCATGGTAAAGAAATGCTTCCTAGCATCCAGTTTAAATCTTCTCTGGAACAGCTTTGAGGCTCCTTACCCATGAGTCCTGTCACTGGGTACTTGAGACAAGAGACCTGCAGCTCCCTCTCTGCTTGCCCTCCACAGAAGCAGAGAGCAGTGAGGACACCCCTCAGCCTCCTTTTCTCAAAACTAGAAAAACCCAAAGTACATAGCTGCTCCTCATAAGGATATGCTTTCCAGCCCTGGCTTATTATCAGTAATATTGCAGTTGTGTAATGCACATGTAGCATTGGCTTAATTTTATTTATGTTGATATAAACTCCTTTTCCTCAGACTTCAATCTGATATAACTGGATCTAGTTGCAAATGAAGGAAAGAGCCCTGAAAATTTAAGCTCCTCCTATTTTCCACCAAATTTCAAAGATTAAAATAAATTCTGCTGACATTAATTTTTTATGATCATGCTCCTTATTCATAAAACCTATATTTTGAGCTTAATTTCTTAGTGATTCTTTTGAATATAATCAAGAGAGGAAACTCTTGAGTGTTGAAAAATAGAAGTATTTTCCCATTCTCAGAGAAATATCCAACCTTGACAATAACAGCATACCCTTTAGTGGGCCATAACCCACTAATCTGCCCATAAATGCAATTTTCATAGTCATATCCTCGACAGGTGAGAGTTTCTGTAGCACTTCCAAGAAATGGAAAGCCGTCTGAGACAACTTATGAGCAGGAGCAGAGGAGTGTCCGAAGACTGAAGTCTGGTGTGAGGTTAGAGGATATGGATAGAGACTCCATTCTCTCAGTGAAGCCTTTTCCTCTGTTTGGGTTTCTAGTGCTGACTGGGGGGCCACTCAGCGGGACCTACAGGCTGCGCCAGATCCACTTCCACTGGGGGTCCAATGATGAAGCTGGCTCTGAGCACACGGTGGATGGGATGAAGTATGCGGCAGAGGTAAGGCTTTACATGGAGTCATCTGTACCTCTAAGCTTGTGACTAGCTTTCCATTATGAGAGTAATGTTGCCCTTCCTCTTCCTGCTTTTCATCTTCCCCTCATTTTATTGAAAAGTGGTCTTCCTGAAGTGTTGCTTGTTTGGTCCTTTCTCAAAGGAGAACCTCTTTGAAAGCTTTGCAGAGGATTAAAAAAGGAGTACAGAAGACAAGAGCTCGATAAGAGCGAGACTTAATGTTCAAGAGTTATTTTAAACTTTGTCTTTCATTGTTTCCTCCTTGGAGAATATTTTCAAAGTCATCTTCAATGACAAACCACAGAATTATTGGATTTGGGGCCTATGTATTGTAAAGTTTATGCAAGACATAGGAATGTTGCATTTTGTCTTAGCAATGTGGTGGTTATGACTTTGAGAACCATGGTTTAATATCTGTGGGATGCCTGCTGTCTGTGGAGATTGTGCTTCAGTGGAGGTGGTGTGCCAAAGGGAGAAGTGCACCATCTGCTCTGGCATAGAGCATTCACTCCTGCTCTGTCTCCTTTGTATTTGAGTAATCTGCAGGAGGAAGTTCTCAGTATGACATTCCTCTTTGCAAATGGAAGTACCATGGAATATTTTCAGGAGATTGAGGTCTTTAAAGACTTGTGATTCAGACAGTGTCAGAGTTTTCTGAGGTTAAAAAGTAAAAAGTATAAGAATAAATGGCCAAATAAAAGGCATAATACTACAGAAGAAATAAATGTAATGTATGCACTGTGGTGTGATCAGATTTTACGGGAAATGCTATAAGAGATACTGGTCAGGAAAAAAAGATCTATTTTCTAACACTAATGGGGAAAAGTGACATTTGCAGTGTTTAAAGGCTTATGTTTTCCACAGGAACCAGGTGAGATGGAATATAAAGAATTAATAGAGGTGCTTTAAAACCATTAAGTACCAAACCCAAATTTCTAGCTGAGAAAATACATGTTTCCCATCTAAGAAACCAAATGGAAGGAGAAAATATCTCTGAATTTCTAGCCAGTCTAAAGGCCTTTCTGTTACCTGTTGGTTGGGTAACCCTCCACAAGAAGCTCTCTAGATGTCACTTTGGCTTTGGGATAAGAAACTCAGAATTGAAACCAAGGCTTCTGAATATTATTCACACAAAAGAAAATACCTCAGAAGGAGACATGAAGATGTTTTCAGTGCTCACCTTTGTAAGGAAGATGTGCAAGGTTTGAAGAAAAAGCATTGACTGAATTGAAGAAAGAATTCATGTACAGGTAAAGAAGTCTGCAAGGTTTGCCCCTTAAGCCCTCCAGGAAGCAGAAGAGACCCATGGCTCCATTCTCTGTGACAACATACGGGCTGATCAAGGTCTCTTCACAAGCTGCAGTGACACCACGGTGGTAAGACAGGATATATTCCTTAGAGAAGTCACAAGCCATTGAGAACGGGTCTGTACCCAGAAGTGTTTCACACTCTGTTTAGGGGCTCTGGTTTTTGGTGGGTTACCTTCTGGGGGTTTTTTTGGCAAAGCTATGAGGGAGTGGGCTTTTAGTAGCTGTGGGAATTTTCCTTTTTGCTCTTTGTTGGGTTGTTTTTGATGGTGTTTTTTTTTTTTTTTTTTCCCAAATCCACAATAAAGGTAATTTCTGACTGAGAGTATCTGTTTCCTTTTTGTGTATGAAAAAATGTAATTGCTTAAAAGTTGTTCAACATAGGTTCTGTGAATTTATAATAGGAAGCAGTGCAGACACTGTGAACTCCAGGATATTAATGCACTTGAGAAAGGTTTAGTGGACTATGTTCTCCTCCTGGCTTAGTGTATAATATTCATAGCAACTTTCCTTCAAGGATTTCTAAAGCTGTGAGACAGCATGGGTGTCATCATAGCTGTACATGTATTATTATTGATGACATTATTGATGATAGGGATTCCTTACTTGCTGCAAAAGCCCAAATGCTTAAAATATTGATGTCAAGTAAGACCAAGTAAGAGTTCCATTTTATAGATATGGAAAATTGAAACTTATAGAAGTTAAGCAAGGATTGATATTTAGAATAAAAATCTTCATACTTCTAGGTTCGTATTTCAGCCATGCAGCCATGTTGCTTCATGTGGAAATCTTTTAAAGCAGATTTCAGTTTTCCTAAATTGTTCTTACTTTACTTGTCCTGTACGTGCTGTATTCCAAAAGGAAGTCCTTTTTTTCATGGGTTTGTCCCAGTTTAAGTCATTCAATGAGTTTCTTTTCCTCATTCTTGAAGTTCAAAATCTGAAAAGATGGTCACCAATTTTAGAAAAGCCAATCTCATGCCATGCTTCTGAGCATCTTTAACTAAAAATTATGTGTAATAAGATTTACTAATCCATTGAGGATTCGTGAAAGTAATTAATGTTTGTGAAATAGTCAGACCTAAGTGCTGTGTGAGTGTGCTCTCTCCAGTTTGGCAGCCAGACCATTGCTCAAGGCTGGAACAACCTGGAACTTCTTGGGAACCAGGAGCTCACGTAATGAAGAGTGGTCAGGAATTAGGAAACCTAATTTTTAAACTTAAGTAGCATGGAAATAGACATCACAAGCTTTTCCTCTTCCCTCCTGGCTGGGTGGTGTTTAAGCTTCTTAGGCAAATATTATGGGACACTTCCAGAATAATGCATGTTGAAAATGCAAATGCTCAAACCTGAGATAATCAAGCTGAAAAGTGTCAAAAATGAAATGCTGATGTTCCCTTAAGCTAAACAAGGGAAAAGGGGTCAGTGCAAGTTTTATGTGTATTTGCCTATTTTCTGGCTATTTATGTGGATGATTAATGCTGCTGAAAGCTTGATTAAAGAAAAAGAGTAAAATAATAATGACATCCTCATGAATTCCAATCACTTTTTAAAATCAGCTGTACTAAAAATGGATTTTAAACCTCCAGTTATATAATCATTGGCTTTTTTTTGTCCTAACTTCTCGGTTCAAACTCTGGGGACCCAACAGCAATTTGACAGGCACTGTGGTATGCCGATTGCTACTAAATTTTTAATAATCTTAGCCACTGGAAATGCTTTTGCCATTTGTGTGAACTACATATTTACTGATTTCATGAATTATCTGCATTTAGAACACTGAATGATTCTGCATACAAAAGAGTGAAATAGAGTGTCAAACCCAGTAAAATTGTAATATTTATTTGCCACTACTTGAGTTCAGTGAGCGTTGATGCTGTCTGTGTCTTTTGCTTTCCAGCTTCATGTGGTCCATTGGAATGCAGAGAAGTATTCCAGTTTTGTTGAAGCAGCTTGTCAGTCAGATGGACTAGCAGTTATGGCTGTATTTCTGAAGGTAAGTAGAGAATGCTTCAACCCTCATAATAAATCTGCGTTATAAGCCCAAAGAGATAACAGTGATGGTTTGTGTAAGCATCACTAAAGAGAAACTTGTTTTATATTTATTTCCTTCGTAGTGTTTACCTGCCAATATAGAAAGGTGTGCTCCTTTAAGAATAAAAATATCAGCTTAATAGATTTTTCAAGACAGTCAAACTCTTCAGTTTGCCTAGTCTGCAAGCCCAAACAACATTAGATGTGGAACTTAATTCAGCTGCCCCCATTTGGATCCCAGTAACTTGTTCTTGACTAACATGTTCATTTAGGGGGACCCCTTGATTTAAATGGTTTTTTTAATGGCTTGTTTCTGAGCTGGTAAGTTCTTCTAGAAAATAATAATTAAATAATGCAGAGCCAGAAAATGGAGAATTTCCTAATAATTATTTTATATCTTTTTTGCCTTCTCTCCCTGTTCTAAGATTAGATTTGTGCAACAGCTTCACTGAATTCTGTATGAAGAAGCAGATGGGGAATTCTCACAATTTATGGCAAAAGACAGGGCTGTGGTAAATTCTGTGGTTTCTGGTGGCTGACACAGCTTCCTGAGAACAGCTAGTACTGGTGCTGGCACAGTCAGAGAGCCATTCCGTGCCACGGTTGCAAAGAACTGCTTCAGCAGTTCAGTAATTCCGTCTTTCCAGTTTGCATTACAATGACTCAAAGGAAGTGTCACTGGATTTCTTAGCACACAAATTCAGTTTGGAATGTTCTCACGTAAGAACATAGTTTTCAATGTTATAAGCAGTTTAAATTTCTGATGTCAGTCTGTAACTTTTAATGTCCAACATATTAAAACATGAAAGATAAATCATTTCTATACCCCTGTAGTGAAAAGTTTGTAATTCTTTTGTGGCTGAAGTAATTACTATGAATAGCCAGAATACTATTAGCAAGGGAGTGAATCTTCTTTATGATCAGTATTATTTCTAAGGACCAGGTAGTCACGGGCTTGTACAGAAGGTGCATCAGATCTTTCAGTCACTCCAGTTATATAAAGCAGTTTCATTATGCATTTGCTTTTTTATTAATTTTCATTGCTTTTCTCTGGAGCTCCAGTGTTTCTTTTTTCTTTGGTGTTAATAGATTGGTGAATGCAACCCTCAACTGAACAAGATTACTGACCGCTTGGACACCATCAGAATCAAGGTGAGCAAGTGCTTCTAAAAGAATACTAGCTAATATTGGTAGTTGCTTTTGTTGGTCAGGTTTTTTATTTTTTGAAACCTGGCTGCTATTCCCTGTACCTCCATGTTTCCTTATCCCCAATGATTGATACCTGATTTGAGTCAGTTTATGTGCATTCTGTTTAAGTTGAAACTAAGTAGACAAAACATAGTTTTTACACAGCAAAAGATCAGAGGAAACAGCTAATTCCTCACAGAACCCAGTCTCTGATATATCTATTGCTATGAAGATAGTAACAGGGGAAAAACATACTTCATGGAAAGCTATAAAAAAGATTAGGAAAATACTTCCTTCCTTGTTTTGCTGAGGTACAGAGTGAGAAATAACCTATTGCTTGTGCAAGAGAAATTAGCCAGACTCCCAACATGATGTTCAGACAGACATCTGTGGTCTGGTATCCAGTACAGGGGGAAACAGAAGTAATTCCTTGGAGGAGCGAGGAGGGAAGCAAGTGGCAGTAACCTGTGGGGTAACTCTGCCAGCCCCACAGAGACCATGTTGAAAGTCTAACATCTTTTGTCTTCTCCCCACCATTTCCATCTCATGGTCATCTGTAACTTAGGGGAGCCTGTTCTAACATGACACCTCTCATGGTGTCCTGCTGGCATCAAGGAAAGTCACAGCAAAGCTGTCTCTGAGGTAAGACCTCATCAGAAGGGCGGTGATGAGGACCTCCTGTCATCAGCCAAGATGCTGCCAGCCCACCTGATAGTGGAACAAGCTCTACCTCCTTTGGCATTATTTACCTTGCCTCTTGCTTTTAAATAATTGCCCTGGTATTTTCTTTTATTTCTTTCAAGGGGAAAAAAGCACTATTCACAAACTTTGATCCCAGCTGTCTGCTTCCCAAGTCCCTGGACTACTGGACTTACTTTGGCTCTCTCACTGTTCCACCTCTTCTTGAGAGTGTCATCTGGATTGTTCTGAGAGAGCCCATAAGTGTTTGTTCGGAACAGGTATCTTTGGATTTCTCACTGCTATAGAAGTGTTGCTTTTGTAAGAATGGAAATTGTAAATGCCACCCAATATTATGGGTGGCACTGCAGATGTTACAAGATTTTCAAAAGTCAAAATTTGTCTATCAAATTTGTTCTGACTAGTTGCCTTTCTTGCTGTAACAGCTATTTATTATTAACTTTGAAAAAGAATCTGCATAGACTAACAATTAAGAAACAAAAATAATCCATATGGAACCTAAAAAAAGAGTTCAGATGATGCTTAGAAATTCTGGAATTCCAGTTGATTTAATTATTTATATATCCAGCTCAAACCTCATCTTTGGCCTTTTTTTTCTGGCAGACAAGTAGCAAATGTCTGCTTCCATTCTAAATACATAAAACTTGATGAATTTATGTAGAGGGAATACTGTTGTGATAAGTTGGGGTTTTAGGAAAGCTGTGATGCCACAAAAAAGGGTCTATTTGCAATTCTTGTAAAAGCTTCATGATGTATCTTAACTTGGCAACAGTGACACCCAGCGGGCTGATCCTCTTAGGTGTAAGGTATTTCTGAGTAGAGAGCACACAGCAGAAATGGTGACTTCAGTCTTTGCTATAAGTGTTACGAACGTTCCCTGAATGGGCTGCTGGTTGGGAAACCTCAAATTTCTGTTTACAACTGATTCGAAGTAATTTATTTGCTCAATGTGTGTATTTTTCTCACCTATATATCTTCCTTATTCCCCTCAATCTGGTTTTGTAAGGCTTGCTGCAACTGTTTGGATCTAGGATTGGAAACTTGTATTAAGGTATCAACTTTCCAAATATAAGCCATTTCTCAGGTTAAAAGTTTCCTATTTGGGCAAATCTGTAATAAATACATTCTAAAATGTGAAATGCTGCATACAAACAGCCATGTAACAGGCTCAGGAACATGGTGTGGGAAAGTGTCCAGTATAGTGATCCTTTATTAGTAATTTTTCATAAACTTTAGCTATATCTTACGTATTAAAGTAGAAATTGCTATATTCTTGTCAATATAAACATGCGTGCAGCTAAAGTGTTTTCACTAATGTCCACCACTGTGATTGTTCAGTCAGCACCTGACTGATATTGTTCTACCATTTAATTTTATTCCTCAAGTTTGGATTTCTTTAGGGCTTTAGAGTTTACTACAGACTTTTTGTTGCACTTTTCAGGTTGAAAGAAATTTAAAATAGCTTTTAAGCTATTTAAAAACTTACAGGACCCTGAATACAAACGTTAGCTTCAGAATGGGGTGAAGCAAGGTAGCATTGATATTTTTTGCTCTTAATGTCATTATGATGCAATGTGCCATTACAACTAAATGCTGTATTATAATGGAATGGTTTTGGTACTGTCCTACCATTGGTAACCTAGGAGGGAAGTAAAGTGATATATAGAAATAGTAACTATTGGAAAGATTAGGAATTAATCAAAATTCTATACTTAGGTCAGAAATCATCCTCAGATTTCCCAAGGTTTAGACATGGAGCTCTGATGGGGTTTCTGCTGAGATCAGCATATGCTGAGTTGTGAGTAAGTGCTTGTCCTGGAAGTTATGAATAAGTTCTTCACAATGAAAGAATTTAGAGACTCTTTTGGTTTGAGTAAGTGCTAGTGGCAGAAGCTTTCTGTAGCACCACACCTGCAATTCCAGGTTAATTGTGAATATCCTCTTTGAAGAAGGAAACATACACAGAATGTTTGTATGACAAAGAAACATAATCTTATCTTTTGGCAAAAAGCATTTCAGAATCTCCAAACTATGAAATCCAGCTAAAAAGGTATAAACACCCCCTGGTTTAGATCAGGTTGTGGAAGACAAAGTGTGAATAAAGGAAACAAGTAATCCTTATGCAGAGTTTCATGTATTTTGGGATATTTTCTCAGTAGTAATCCCCCTTTTCATTTACAAGGATAGAAATGGTGAAATTGCCATTCCCCCGTGACTTAATAAAATACAGTTCTGTTCTTTCAGGTGGAAAAAAGTGACAAGTGTCTTTATTATTTACATGCTTTTTCATGAGTATTTGCATGAGGGTTTTCAGCTGAACCTGGTGTGTCTTTTGGTTACAGCTGGCCAAATTCCGCAGCCTCCTGAGCACTGCTGAGGATGAGGTCGCCTGCTGCTTGCTGAGAAACTTCCGGCCTCCCCAGCCCCTGAGGGGACGAGAAGTCAGAAGGAATTGAAGGAGTAAATCCAGAGTAGGCTCCCTCTGAAACCAAAGACCAAATTCATTTTAATAGTTAATATACTTTGTGATGTTTAATTTCTTTTTGTGAGTTGTTTTTAACCAATAGGTGTTGTTTTATCAGTGGTTTCCATGCAGTCATTTCTCACACATGTATGTCTGGAATTGTCACAGGTTCATTGATGTTAACAGGTCTGACTGGGTTTGAGTGCATTGTCTTGGAAGTACTGAGCCATCAGCATTGCATGCACAGAGGTCACTGCTAAAAAAATGGTGAAGGAGTTGCCCAAATTTTGCCACCAAATTACTGAACAGGATCCTTGGTATTATTGACAATTTGGGATGTTCTGGGATTATTCTCTGGTCTCTAACCTAACATTTAGCTTCTGGATAAACCTCACATTGCAGTTCTCAAGGAAAAAAGTTTCAAGGATGATATAATTTCATTGCTGACTTCTGCAATACCATATTTACGTTCCTACAAAAAGTAGCAATGACTAGCAGCATTTAAGTAAGACAGATATTTATATGATCCTGTTATTCTGGCTGCTTCATAGCAGTAATCATGTACTGCTATTGATTGATAGTTTTTTAAAAAGCAAATAGTAAAGATTTTGTATATTGCAAGATTATGTCAGGTAGATTAGATATTCCTGAATTTCACAATGTCACAAGATGAAATTGTCCTGAAACCTGAAAACTGCAAGGTGGAAGGGCATAGAGGGAGCTGTTTGTGCCTAAATCCAGTTTGTTGCACTTGGTGAAACATAAGGGATTATTACACTATATCCATGTAGCATCACACTTTTTCCCCTTAAAATCAAGAGGCAGGGGTAGCTGTTGTTCCAGACCATTGCACGCTGCAGTGTGAACCACATCCTGCTTACCTCTCATCTCACTATGCAGCACAGTACTGCCGGGTATAAAATGTGTCAAGGTGCTGGCTGATGTTCTGCTGTCATAGGTGAACTTCAGTGGTTGCACTTATATTCCAAGACCAAAGAGAATAGTCAGAGACAGCCAAAGAAATTGGAATCAAGTCAACATCTAATAAAAAGCTCAGCCCTCGGTAGCTATATGTTGAAACTTCTGTCTCTATAAGTTGACTTGAGCCAGTGTTTCTCTCAGGAGCCTTTTTTATCTGAATATAATTGGGGTTTTTTACACCAAATATTTTTATTAATGAACATGCCATAGGATGTAGCTTAGGATAGAATTAGATTTACTCAAACTGTGAGAACTACATAGTGAAATCCAGTGAGTGATACCTGAAAGAGACAGCTAGAGGTTTTACTGCCAGCAACTAACATCAATCTCTGTAGTACTTCTGATAAATTCATCTTCCATAACTGCTCTCCTTTAATTAATTTTTAAATAGGTTTTATATGCTCTGCCTTTTACCTGAATGGGTCATTTGATCTTAGATGAACAAACATGAGGGAAATCACAATTGGGATTGACTTTAGATGCTGTTTTAGAACAATAAATTAGATATAGAGATATAGGTATTTTATCTTAGTTGAAGATATGTGGAATTCTTTGTTTTCTCCTCCCCAGAATATAGCTATTATATTCTGCAAGGCCTCCCAATGCCTTTTGAATATTTTCTGAAGAAAAGAACACAAACTTGAAAGAAAAAAAAGGCATTTAGCAGCACTAAAAAGAAAAGTGAGAGTGTGTTGTATGTTTTCACTCTCTTTTTTAGACTTAGGATTGGATCTCATATGTTTCCCTGTTATGTGAGTAGCTACAAAATGTGGAAAAATGTTTGCAAATTGCAGGAAGGATACAAAGGATTTGTTGGTCTCAGAAGAGAAAGGAATAAGGCTACTTCTTCATATTGTAAACAGAAGTTTTACATATTTCTTACATATTGTAAACAGTGGAGTTGATTAATTCTTTTATATTTATAAGGGTTTTATCAAAATAAAATATGGATTTTATGAATGTGTCTTGTATTTTCTATTGAAGAACCTAGTTTTACAGAGAAGTCTATACTTTTATAATTAACAGCTGCAGCTTTAGGTTTGGAAAAAATTGTCACCCATCATTTGAAGCCTGTCTTTGGGTAGTGTAGTATTAGGTATGTCTTTATGTTCCAAATAAAATATTTTTGGTAGTGGTAAGATATGTAATCCATTCTTCAAGTTTCTGATAGTGCATTTTTGAACTATTGATGATTTTTATAGTTATGCTAATAAGTCTTAGAGGAAGTCATCGTTCAAGTAATTCCCCTTTTGTGGAGATGCCATGTTCATGTTAGATTGGCCTAGCTGAAAGTTAGTGGTGGCATCTGAAAAAGAGTAGAAATGCTCAGTTACCCGAAATCCTTTGGGAACAGCTTCTCAGGTTACCTGAAATCCTTTGGGAACAGCTTCTCAGGTTATCCATCCCCTACAACCATAAAGTGAGAATTTGGACACAGTCTCAGCTCTGAGCACTTGGTTGCACCCTCAGTCACTAATTTCCTGTGTGCCCAAGCTACAACAAACCTCAAGCAGACTACTCAGTGTGCTCCCAGAGAATCTTATCTCAAGTATGAGCTCCACATTGTCCTCTACAGCAACTGAGGCTGAAATATGTCATCACCCCCCAAACCCCTGCAGCCACATGTCCCTTTGATCAACTCTTAACTCTCTGACACACTTGGAGCCTTTATATTAAGAAGAACGAAATGCTCAGTGACCAAAAAAAAAACATAGAGTGTATTTGCTGGAAATAGTAGCTGTCAAGAATTGTGGACTGCTGGAAGTTTGATCACCCATAAACTTATTCTCAGAATTAAATAAGCCACAGCAGAGCCCTGGGGTCAGCTCTGCTGGTTTTGGCACAGGAGGGAAGCAGTCTGCTCTGCTATGCTAATAGCATTTGCCATCATTCTCATTATGTTTTTAATGTTGCACATGTTTAACATCAGCTGGGAATTTTCTTTATGTCTAACAAAAACCTGAGAAGTAGCGCTCTTCCCTTCCGGAGTACAGTGGGCTGAAGATACACCAGACATCTCTTTGATGCCATACACCCATTTGCTATATACCTATGTTTTCTCTTCTGGTTTAGAGATTTGTCTCTCAGTTGCTTCCAGACATGAAATGTGACCTAAAGGAATTCTAAGAATGAATTTGAAGAAAAAAAACCCCAAGTCATCAAATAATAAATATCACAGAAAAGAAAAAAAAAAGTGGAATATGGCATATGAATAAAATAACATCATTGAAATAGATATGTTATACAGTTTCTATACACTTAATGGAAAGGAAATTCTGGATTTAGATTCTTGTAGCTTTAAGTAGGCAAGGGACAGATTATGAGATAAGTCTTCAGATGTTAAAAGCTGCAAATAATTGAGAAACTTGGAGCACCTTTAGGTTGTAAGCTCAGTATGAAAATATGAATACCAGAGGAATCTTGCTCAAGAGATGTAGCTTCTTTCTTTTACTGTCTATTAATTAGTCTAAAAAAACATGGTGACAATTTCCCTTATCACTCTGCGACTAAGTGGACTGCAGCTAGCTTCTGACCTAGCTGTTACCTGTTACATTTTTTTGTTCTCCCACCCAATCTGATCTTGCTTTCTAGTTATAGATGCAAAATACAGAGATTTGCTCTGTGATTTAATCTCTTAGATACTGTTATTTCTGTGTATCTTATTTGTGAAGTAGCTGACTCAGTGACAGGGGACCTTCTCTGTGTGTCTGCTGTTTTTGTGAGACAGGAGATAATACTGAAATGCTGAAACAAAAATGTTTCTGAATTCATGGGGTTTTTTCCTGTTTCTATCAACCTCTCCATCATTTATGCCAAGCACAAGTTATTACTGTGTTGAAACATTTGCATGTGTGATCTGTGTCTCTTCTCCTGTGCAGCAGAATTTGGGGAGAGGGAATGTCTCTGACAGGAGACACTGGATTGTCATGTGAAAACAAAGATTCTCAGCCTCTGGTTAACAGAGATGATATGTTGCACTGTTGATTTCTGTGTCTGTTTCTATTTTATCAAATTTCACCCACATACTTGGGTAGATAAATTTGAATAATTTGTAGATACTATTGACAGTTTCATTCATCAGATGAAAATCATATAGGTTGCATGCAACAGGTAGAAAAAAATATATGTTTTGTGAATATCTGATTTAATTATTTTTCTGTCTCTGATTTGTAAATATTTTGAATGAAGTATCAGCTGTTTAAATGTCAAAACTGCTTCCATTCTTTTCCTTTCTACAGTTATATGAACAACAGACAAAGATGTGGCCTCAATGTTTCTTCTTTTTTAGCAGCACTTTGGTGATTTTGAGGAAAAAAGTTAACCCAGTAATTCTTGGTGTTTTTCTGATAATTTTTTCTTGATTTATGTTTTCCCTTTGGCCTGTTGAAGCTTCAACTTTTTTGATGGTTTATGTTTTCATTAGTAAACTGGCAAATGGTGCTGATGATACAAAATCTTCCCCTGCCAGAAACAGATGAATGATTGATTGAGAACAGGGATGTTGTGTTAGAGAAAATGATAACAGACTAAGCTGTAGTAAGTAATCTAAAATTCTGAACTGACTGGGAAAAACTGAGTGGTGAGATTTGGAGAAGATAAAAATGCTAAAGATAAAAGAGGTACTCTAAAAGCCTTCTAATAGGAAAAGAGGCCCTTTGCACATGGCTTTTGCCAATAGATGTCACTGTGAGTAAGGCAATGATCACCTGCCCACTGACACACATCCTGAATGAGACCCATGCTGTCCTGAAGGCTCAGCCTGTGAAAGAACAGTATGCAATATAACTCATGTATTAAGGATGTGCTGTTGATAGTGATTTACTTCCTTTCTTAAAAGGGAAACAAGATTGTGAAAAAAAAATTGCGTAACAAAAGATACTCAGACTAAAAAAACCCAAACATAATTAGGTGAACCTATGCATTTAAATGCTCCCCTGTTTCCCATAAGCAATTGCTGTTACATAGTTTCACACATGCCTAAAGCCTGAAATTTGAAATATTGCCAGAAAT